GGTAGGTTTTGTACCTTTTTGTGGAATTAAGACAATTTAGGAGAAGTTAGGATAACTTTTTCTCGGAAAATTTGTAAGTTGCTTCATTGAAATTCAATATCAAGTGAAGTTGGAAGACGCCATTTATAAAAGTAGATAATGGAACGAATTTTGGACTTCGAGACCCTTAGCCTTGCGAAAAATCGAGACTCCGAGACAGCTTCGTAGAAAAATCGAGACTGCGAGACGCACATAACCGCTAAAAAAGGAGACTGCGAGACCCGTGAAATTCGCCTAAAATTTTACGAGACCCAGAGTTTTTGAAGGACCATTCGCCAGCCATAGAACTGTTCACCTAAGGTGGAAACTCCTATTAAGGGATCCGAGACATGCTTCACCCCCACTTCCCCACCCCTCGGTGACTTATTTAGGTTCTTGAAAACGTAATTTCCAGCATTTTGAGGGATGATTGTTGGTTCTTTAATATCTTTGAAATCATCTCTTCTACGCTTAGATATTTACAGTAATGCTTACCTTCCTGATGACCTACGTGCTACGTACTCACTGATGAGCTGATTAACAAAGGACACAAAGAGGCTCATCTTCTGGCCTAAGCCACGACGCCTAACCTGTGATATCTCTCGAAAGAAAAACTGTCACTTTTGGTGCCATGTAGAATTTGACAGGAGCATGAATCACGTGCTATTTCACCAAATAGACATATAAAAAAAGGAAGTACTTAAATAAAACGGATTTTAGACTAAGCCAGGCATACTCAGGAAACTGACTCTCGTCCATCAAGATTATTTTTGTTCTTTTCAAGTAGGTATTTTTTTTTCAGAAGATTAATTATAATATTTGTCAGCGATGATTGCCCACAAAGGTTCTGGTCAGAAAGATCCAGAAACAGCACGCATTTAAGAAAATTTTCATCTCCTTTGAGGGGGTTTAAGAGCTGTACAAGATCGTTCAAAATACCTACGTGTATTCCTAAAATAAATAGATTTACGTAATTTACAAGTTCTAAAATCTAAAACATTAAAAATTTTCTATCATCTGATTCACTTCTAATTAATTATTAACTAAACGTCAACACTAAGAATTAAATATATACATTGAAATTTAAAATCGTAACAAAATAACGGTGGAATAAAATGAGCCAAAAATTAAAGTCTATTGTTCTTAGTTTACTCTTAAAATGGGTAACATTGAGGGCCTGTTTCACATTTGAAGGCAGACCGTTCCAGAGCTAGCTTCGTACTGATGTAAGTAAATGACTTCTTCATTAAGTTAAGGTTAAATTAAGGCGCACATAAATTAACACCATTGCCTCTAAGATTACATCGCGTTTCTCTAACGCTAAAAAAGTCTTAACCCGATGGCTGAACATTCTTCTGAACATAAACTGTCAGCTGAGAAATGACTTATATTTTACTCGGTAGTTGAGATCCAAGATCTCTAAAGGTTACTAATAGCTTGTGTAGTGGCCAACTACTCTGAGCTAAGCCGATAACTCGCACTCATTTACGTTAATACCAATTAATTTACAAAACTAAACACTTGAATATCTGAACTATACTTTGCAACGAATGGACGATATGTTCCCGTAAAAACTTGGTGTAGAATTGAAATAAGGGCAAAAAACCGACCAAAGTTATGCTTAAAACTTGTTGTGTCTGAATTCCGATGATGGTGGCACACACCTAGAAAACCCGACGCTCATATGGCGAGAAGAAATGCACCTGTGTAATCTGTAGATTTGACCGGTCAGCGGTAACAACTACTTTATAAACATTTAATATATCTACGTGTTGGAAATGCCGTTTGTATCTCAATAGCATGCTGTTAAAAGAAATTTTAAAACACTGTTTCGGTCAGCGTTATTACAAAAAATTGCCAATTTACTGTTCTGTTTTTTCACTCAGTTGAAAATGTACATTTCCGTCTTCCGTCGCAGCAGAAAATGTTACAGACGCTTGCCGTGGCGTATTTC